AAAAAATAATTCGGACCGTCCGTTCCGGGTTCAGAACGGACGGACCGCTCGCACAGACCGGAACGTCCGTTCCAGACCGCAGAACGGACGGACCAGAGTGTCGGCAACGACCAAACGACGACTTTCGTCCGGACCGACCTGAAAGCGACCCGAATGCACTAATCCGACCAGAAAATCCCGACTTTTTGACTTTGTGCACGATTTAGTCCGCCCTGGGTCCGAATTTGTGTCGTAATTTGGCATAATCCGAGCTTCAATCGCCCATTTTCTCTCCCTCTCATGTTCTTCATTTCCAACCAAAAATTCTCTCTCAAATTCTAAAGATTTACGCTCGAATCGGTTTCTACAGAGCAAGAGGAACATCCCCAAGCTTCCCATTCAACACCCATAGCACGGGCTTAACCCGAGGTGAGTGAATTCGAGTTTAATTCGGAAGTCTGTTAGACATGGGGTTTTGGGTTTTGAGTGATTTTGTGCAAAATTGATGTTTGATTCGTGTTGTGCATGCAATTTTATGAGTTTTAGTGTAATACCCATAGTGAATAGTGCATGTTTGAGTGTTTTGGTGAAAATCCGAGGACTAGAACGTCCGGTCTGAGGTCAGACCGTCCGTTCTAGGTCTACAGGAGAAATACAGAAGTCTGGAGGTTGAAGACGACTCCAGACCATCCGTTCTGTAAGACCGGAACGTCCGTTCTGGCTTTTGTCCGTTCCGCACTTGCCAAACCATCCGGTCTGACGAGACGGAACGTCCGTTCCGAACCGATCGGTCTACTGACTAGACCGATCGGTCTGAAAAAAAAACAAAAAAAAGTAACGGAACTGTAAAATTTCACCATGAGGAAAATTTAAAAACATGATAAGACGGGTCTAATATGACCTGGTTAAAATTATGAAAAAGTGAAAAATATAAATTATACCGGATTTACGGGCCAGACCGCACCCCACGTAGTCTGGACCCAAAAATTAATAACAGGTAAGGTTAAAAACCACAGAATGAACCGAACTGGTTATCCGGGCGGACCGAGACCAGCTAAGTCATACCGGAGGTACAATACGGTAGTGTGAATGAAAAGACTGAAAGAAAATATATAAAGAAATATAAAAGACTACACAAGCGAAAATGCATGTATAGTAAATAAACTATATAAATGCATGTGATTGGGGTAGCTGGCATGGCACTAGCGTTAATTCGGAAGGGTTCGGATTAACGTTTAGCGCGTGATTGTAGAAACGAACGTTTGTGAATGATGGCACGATGTTTGCGAGATTGTGTCCCATCTACGGGCCATCCGATCCGGGTCGGATGCCACCCGTATGGGATATGATTGTGAATGTGGCGATGATACGATCGCGCCAACGTCCGAACGACAGGACGGTTATAGACCCCCCGATGACTTTCATGGATAGCCGATTGTAGTCGGTACTATTGCGTGACGAGGAACACACGGTTTTTAGAACCGCACCAACGTATCCGTTAGCGACGGAGCGGACCCCGGGATATGAGTATCCCGAGGATGAGGGCATCACACATACCTGAGATTCGGGCGGATTGTGGTCCCCCGAGGAGGTGGTACGGACTTACTCTGCCAGGTTCGGGCATGAACCTGACAAGTATTTTCGCGGCGGATGGTCGGCGAGGGAGAGTTGCAGCGATTGGCTCTCTCGTTATAGTCGA